AAAAGGGGGGCGCCTGGGTGGCGCAGTCGGTTGAGCGTCCGACTTCAGCCAGGTCACGATCTCGCGGTCCGTGAGTTCGCGGTCCGTGAGTTCGAGCCCCGCGTCGGGCTCTGGGCTGATGGCTCGGAGCCTGGAGCCTGTTTCCGATTCTGTGTCTCCCTCTCTCTCTGCCCCTCCCCCATTCATGCTCTGTCTCTCTCTGTCCCCAAAATAAATAAACGTTGAAAAAAAAATTAAAAAAAAAAAAAAAAGATCTAGAACATCTGATATCTGCCTATTAGCAAACACTGACATACTTGAGATTTTCCTATAACATAGTTATGATGACTTTTGAGATGCCGAGTAAAGCAGAAGTAGGTTGTTAGTGAAAGCTAACTGATGATTCAAACACTTCTACAACTCACTGTATACAGTAGCTCCTCTGGAGTGACGGGACTGGTGAAGATGGTGCGCAGGCACCGGAGGCAAGCTTCAATGAACTTCAGGTCTGGAGACAGTAGTCCTGTCAATAGAAAAGAGATGTGAGACTCCTCCTTTCAATCCGTATTTTAAACACTGCAAATTGACTCTAATTTTTACTTGTACAAAAATGACTTCCTTACATACCTTGCAGTAAGGCAGGGATAATATGGCAATCTAGAAGAGACTTGACGTTGTTTTCAGTACCCATAGCAAGACTCCCCAATACCACGGCACATTCAGTTTTCAGCTCTGTGCTTGAGGTTTCTTGCTGAAGCAAGTACAATAATCTAAAAAGAAGGAATTTGATAAACAGAGGAGACTAAAAAAAATTAAACACAAGTAAATTAGCTAAAAGTAATGTAACAGAAAAATGCTACCAATACATCCCACATACTAAAAGTATGGTTGGTGAGCTTATAGAAGGTTAGGAAATGGTCATTTGTTTATATCAATTACTAACTTAATAAAGGAATATTTGGGTAAAAAATCAAGAAGAGAGTTTATTCATTTTGAACCAAAGAACTATTACATACAATCTTAGAATTTATCAGGACTATTATTCTGAAATTTGTCCACAAGTAGACAGAGCAGCACCACAGTCCATGTCATCTTCCACTCCAGGATATGAAGACTCTGGACAGTCAAAGCCAAGTGCTGTCAGATGTTAAATTCAGACTAGAAAGGGACCTGGACTATCCAGAGGTATAGTTCAGAGATCACAGAGGTTTAGCCTACAAGAAATAATCAGACTCCTTGTGCAACTCTTCAAGCAAGGAAAACTCTTCTTTCCCCAGTTCTCCCATTTGGGGAACCAGGAGATCCTCTCATTTCTACCCCAGCCTTGCCTGTCAAGCAAATATTCCCTAAACTCTAATCATCCACCACTTACGACCATCTCCTTTTATATTCTACAGTAAAACACACACATTCCTTAAAGTATATTTACATACACTGAACACTAATCCCCTAAGAAAGGCTGCTGAGAGTTTTATGGTTGCCACAGTATATATTTGAGGTTATGATAAAAACAATAAAGCCATCAATCCTGCATCAAAAGACAGATATGAAGAAAAGAAAAAAACAAAGTATTAAAAATTCTGAATAAAAAACTTATAGCAACTGTACATAAAACTTAGTTCTGAGTACCAAAGGCAAAGAGAAAGTTATACAGTTATCACTGTCTGCCAAAAAGAAGCTTATTTAGTTCATCAGAAAAAAGATCAAACTTTCTAAGTTAAAAAAGAGCAAATTCTAAAAATTAGAAATTAAAAAAAAAAAGCAGGATTAAAAATCAAGCAGGAATTTTTGTCAATTTATTTTAAAAAGGTTTTGAGAATCCTAAGAAATTATTATCCAATCATATAAAACTGCCAAAGCTCTGAGGAGATAAAGAATCAGGCTGGTATATATTGTCTATCTACCCAACACATCTTTATTATAGGGTCAATGATCTTCCTGAATTTCCAAAAAGTATTAATATATTTGCTTCATATTCCATTCTCTGGTATTTAAAAATTCCTAAAGATATGCTTCATATATTTCAAAGCATTTATTTTAAAAATTAAGAGGCTTTTAAAACAAGATAGACAACATAGAAAAAAGATGGGTCTTACAGAGGAGAATGAGAAACACATCAGAAACTTAGTATGAATAGCAGAAAAGGGGCTGATAGCAAACATACCTTGGAACAGCTCCTAAAACAATGAGATTGGCTTTCTGCTTGTTGTTTCCAATTACAGCATTTTTCATGTCTCTGAATTCAGGGGAAGAGAAAAGGGCAAGGGATGTTGAGACCTCACAGAAACATCAATGATCAATTCTTTGCACTTTATCTTTACTATGCAACATCTTGGATTGACAAGTATAAATATCAGTGACAAAGTGAAACCCCGATCCTTTTTCACCTGGAGTACCAAAGGAAAGAACAGAGATAGGTACTGAGTGAACCTGAGGGCTGTAATACAGGAGAGTAGGGGAGTGGGGGAAGTGGGAGATACCCTGAGCACTCATAAAAGACTTCCAATACAAAGAATGTTGAGTTCTTCAGAAAAGGCCCACACATTATATCTAACGTTGTTTCAGGGATCATGATTTTGTTCCTTTCTTTCCTATTTTTCTGACTTCTTTGGACTGATTGTTTCTTATGGTTCCATTTTATCTCCTTTTACTGTCTTATTAGCTGTGCTTCTTTGAGTTTTGTTTTGTTGCTTTTTAGTGGTTGTCTTACAATTTACGGTATGTATGTTTTAACTTATCCCAGTCAGTCTTCAAGGAATATTATCTTATTTCGTTTGTGTTCTAAGAGCCTTGCAGGCATATACTTCCATTTTTCCATCCATTCTTTGTGCTATTACTGTCATACGTATTTTTTAATTGGTTAGAAATAACAATATATTGTTACTATTTTTTTAGTTAAGCAGCCTATTACCTTTCAAAGAGATTAAAAAATAAGAAAAAAAACCTTTTATTTCCCACATATTCACCCATATTTTTTATTGTAGCTACACTCAGATCTTTACTTCCTCAGGAGTAAAACTCTATTCCACAAGAACAGTATCTCTATGAATGACCAATTGGTTCACAAACACTGGTCCCAAATGACAGGTTGAGAAAAAATAAATAGCTCCAAGTAAACAGAGTACTACTAATAAGATGATTAATAAAAAATACCCTCATCAGTCAGTAGTGCTATCTTAATATAAAACACTAGAATGCTAAGTGATTCTACACAGCAGTGGTTCTCAAAGTGGGGAAGAGAGGATTAAAGCCCGATAGGGGCATTTTGGAAGTTAATGAGGGTGTCTGGAAATTTCTGGCCATAGTTTTACAATTAGACAGAAAGTGTTTTTTGTATACTTTTAAAGAAAATGGAATTTTTCAGTATTGCATTTGTCCTGTAAATAAAAAGAAGATTATACTTTTTATTATAAGTTATTTCATTTTGGGAAATCAGACCACCAGCACAGTGTCCACTCACAGTACTAGAGTTATCAATACCATACATCAGTCCACATTTTCAGCTCTTGCACTCACACTGCTGAAGTTTTCTAATGTATTCATGACTAAATGTTTACATATGGAAACATTATAAATTATCTTAAAATTTTTTTCACTTATACTATAAGCAGGGAAGGCATTATATTATTTTTGGAGTTATATATGTGAGGAGTTTTATTCTTACTAATTTAATTTCAGGGTAGCACAGGCGTCATTAACAAATATTTATGGGGGGGATCACGTCTGACAGTGTTAAGACCATCAGTATAGAGCCTCAAAGTTCTTAGCTCACCAATTTCTTTCATATCCCCAATAAGTTCCTCTACATTGCCACACAGTGTCTCTTTTGACTCTTTCTAGGCAACAGAGCTCTAACATATACAGAAATGTTTTGTCAACTTTGAAACTTAGAATCCTAAAAAATTCTGTAATTGGTAAACCATGATTTTGTAGAAAAACAGTGGAAAACAGGGAGAAAAAGCTACTTTAAAAAATCAACAAATGTTATAGTCAGCATGTGTTTCCAATACCAACCAAAATCACTGGCATTAAAAACCCTGATAATAATTATAATGCCTTTTCTCCTTAATTACCTTCTTCAATTGTGGCAGAAAAATACTGCTATGATGCAGTGATGTGCTGAAAGCGGATTCTTGCCACAAGTTTTTGAATGGCATTTTCCCAAGTTTGGAGCCAACCACTGTTGGCCTAGTCTTCCTCCCAGTAGCTCAGTGCCTGAAGGTAGGTCTATTTTTTTTCAGGGCCTTATCTGTTTCTCTCTATAAACCATCATTCAGATCTTCTACATGGTTCACAGGGGAAAAGTAAGAGTATTTTTTCATTTATGGGGACTAAGCTGAATGAAGCTTACTAGGGTTTTAACCAAGTTCTGATAGACAATTATAAAATCATGGGATAGCAAAGCCTCACAGAACAAAGCATAGGCTTCTACCTCCTTATGGAGATTTACTTCTCAATCATCAACTTACAGACCCTAACTTAGCAGTTTACCATTTACTTTCGTCTTCTTGCCTTCTCTTAATGTGTTCTGTCTATACTAATGTAGCACATCCATTTGTCCAGCAGATATCTATTGAGAGCCTATTTTTTGCCAGGTACCATTCTCTATTCTGGAATTCCCAACAGGAACATTTCCCCAGATTTCTCTCCACTCTTCCTAAAATAAGCAGAAATGAGGTATACTTACATTACCTTATAAATGTGTTCCAAGTAACTGAAACCTCACAAAAGTAAATGTTTTTATAGACAAAAGCAAACAAAACCCCCTCCAAAACCAATTTTCCAGTTCTCTTAATAGTTCACAAAAAAGACATGAAGGAGGTAGCTGGTAGTTACAGAGTAAATGCAGACTGAAGAGAATACAATTATTAAAATGGACCAAGGTCTAAAGAAAATAATTCTTGCTGTGGCTTTCGTAAGTAAAATATATCTATGGTACATAATGAAGAGACCTTAACACCCAGCAAATAAATTCTCATCAGGTGTTAACTATAAAGGGATACTAGAAGATCATTTCTATGAAACAGTTACAACCAAAAGAAATAATCATTAGCATATATACTTATCTGTAGCAGATCTAAATATGGTATAAGGTTAAATCTCAGAGCCAGCCAGAGTGTAGCCATTTTCTCTCTCTTCTCCTTATCCCCTCCCTCACACCTTCCTGTGGCTAACTTTACTCATCTTTCAGGTCTGATCATAGATATTCATGTCACTTCTTCCAGGAAGCTTGCCCTGACAACTCCCAGGTCTGGGTTAGGTGTCCCTGCTAGCTACCCTCTATCATAGCACATTCATTATTTTGTTAGGATAGAGGTCTATTTCCTCTTGGGAGGCAAGAAAGCCAGTATGACCTGAAAATATCAGAGAGGTTACTATCAATGGATCACAAAATGCACCATAGAGAAATCCAGATTTCTGTAAAATGTAAACTCACAACTATCATCCAAGATGGGGGCACAAAAAAATTATGCAAAACTTATATACTGCCTTGAAGTTTACAAAGGCAGTTTACAAAGGCATATCTATTATTTTATTTAATCTTCATCAAAATCTTGAGTAATATTAACCCCATTTTACTGATGAGGAAGCTAAGAATCAGACTTGTGGCTTTTCTCAGAGCTCCACATTAAATGATAGAGCCAGTCTCAATCCATGTCTTTTATGTCAAGTGTTTTTTCCATTACCTCCAGCATATCAGGCAATCAGAACAAACTGATCAAAAAGAAGTCAGCTAATGTATTTCCTTTTTCCTCCCGTGTTTCAATTTTACATTTTATACAAGATAAAAGCATTTCTCATTTTAAAGATATCCTTTTCCCAGTAGATCAAAGGAATATATCTCATATATACCAACTTTTTAACAAATGTTTATTTTTGAGAGAGAAAGAGAGAGTGTGTGCATGCCCAAGCAGTGGAGGAACACAGAGAGAGGGAGATAGAGAATCCCAAGCAAGCTCTGTGCTGATAGCACAGAGGGGGCTCGAACTCATGAACTGTGAGATCATGACCTGAGCTGAAATCAAGAGTCGGACGCTTAACTGAGCCACCCAGGCGGCTCTCATTATCTACCAACTTTTAATACTCAAAGGAAAAAATGCCCTACTTATATACTACTGAAATTCAACAATTAAATTTTGAGCTCAGCACTGTGTTAGGCTCTATGAAGAATACGAAAGCATCACATAATGGGATGTTTGAAGAGTTTACAATCTTCTTGGGGAGATAAAAATAACACTAACAATGTAAAGCAGTGCTATATTATAAATCAAGTGTTTATAGGCCTGAGATAAATAGATGATCAGACAAGCTTACCAGGTTTTTAGGCAATGGCAGGAACTAAATGAACTTCAGAAAACGGCCAGGATTTAGATAGTGAATGGGAAGGGCAAATGGAAAAGCCATTCATAGAAGACCATATTGGAAATGAACACATCATATTTCTAGGGCAGGACCAGGAGCCTAGATTAAAAAGAAGAAGTGTCCCTTTAAAGTGGGAATACTAAGCAGAACATAAAGAAAAGTGACAGGGAGAAGAGACAAACTAAAGAGGGATAGATTAAGGAGCAATCAAGTTTCCATCAGAAAAAGCGTATCAAGGAAGCAGTGACTAATGAAGGTAAGCTGAATGTGGATTGGATGGGAATGCAGATAATACTAGAGTCAAGAAAGGGAACTAAACGGCTGATGCCCTTCCTCTGTGGTCCCATAACTACTACCCTGTACTTATGATTACCACAGCATTCACTAACCAAACTATAGTGGACTGTCTATTTAGCTATCTGACTCCTTCACTAGACTTCTGGATCTTCCAGAGCAATGACTTTATTATTTATTTGTACACACTCTCACCCTATCACAATGCCTAGCACATGGTAGGCACTCAGTAAACGTTTGCTGAAGGAATTATGCAATCCTTCCAGATATCAGGTTATGTGAGACTAAGATGGCAGCGACGAGAATCATTAATACAGAGCACATTCTGAAGAAGCAGTTAATAAGATGATTTGATGGGTACAGGAAATCGGATATATATCTTGAGTGACTACTTCAAGTCTGAGTTCCTGGATGCAGAGAACAGTAGGGAGCTTGGAACATAAGTCCCTTAACAAGACAAAGATCTATCTTGATTTTGGACACAATGAATTATCTTTGAGGTGAGATAAAAAATATCCAGGTAGAAAGCTAAAAGGTAAGCCTTGGGAATATCCCACTCTTTGAAGATGGGAGAAGAAG